GAGGAATGCCTACTTGTGTTTGCAAGATTCTTCATGTGAAAGCATAGTACATGTGTTGTAGAATGGTAGTAAAGGATTTAATTTTTTAATATTTTTTGCAACCTCATCAAATTCGTTTGATTGTTTGCCTATGAGTTAAAGAACTAGCCATTTGTTGGAGACAGAGGAGCTGAAATTTTCTAGTTGATCGGAGAGCATCTTAAAGTATTAGAAAATAACATTAGGGAAATTGGCATGTTGGGTATGATAAAATGCTATACAAGTTGAACAACACTTAAATTTTATAATTTAGGAAGATTTATTTTATATAATTGCATGCAATTTAGGTGGTAGTATTGAGTTCAAGGACGGTATGTAAGAGATCATTAAGTATGGTTATGTATTTTTGTTGTAAGACAACAATCTCTGACCTTAGCAATAGGGCTTTTGTAACGTCCCATTTTCACAACCAAAAATTTTCATTTTATTTAAGTAAATCTCCCCAATTATAACTCTGTTATGGAGAAAACCGTTTATTCCAAATATATTTATAAAAAAATAAGAGTAATATTAAAGCACGAAAATCTTCAATGTTGCTGATGAATGTGTACAGGCACGCCTTCTCCTTCCCATGATGACCGATGATACCTGAACAATAAAGAATTGGGTAAGCACAAAGCTTAGTGAGTTTCCCCCAAAACACCCCATACGATAAACATATAAGCATGCATCGGGTCCAATCAGCCATCGGGCTGAAATACCCAGGGTTTGTTGGCCTACCGCCTCAACCCAATCGCGCTTCCTGAGCCTCCGTGCCTACGGCTTACAGTCGGCCCACACCGGGTATCTTGGCCTACAGCACAAAGCAGGACCTCCTCAACCCACTCTTACCATATGTCGACATATAAACAATCAAGGATCAAGTAGGCACATAATATGGGCAAACATCAATCATACAGTTCACTACCGCTTACTAGTCCTCTCACAGCATACAATCCTACTACCAGCTAACCTCCATATAATGCATAACCATAAGTAATCAGATGTGAGATAACCACCCGAACAGATGATCCTACTCTAGAACCACAACCAAACGAGGAACAGGCAAGAAAGCCTAGATCAAGAGTTCCCAGGCTATCCTACATGACCACAGACAGTCCCTAGGGTACTCCACTAGATAGCCAACAAGTACATATGGACATACAGATCTACAAATCACTATCGCATAGAAACATCCTAAATACCAAGATACAGATCTAACAGATCACTACAACATTGGAACAAACTAATTACCAACAATGCAAGGAATACATAACCGTATATACTCAGAGGTGAGATAATCACCCCGACAGGTGATCCTACTTTAGAACCACAACCAAACGAGGAACAAGTAAAAGAGCCTAGGTCAAGAGTCCTCAGTCTATCATACATGATTATATACAGTCCCTAAGGCATCCCTCTACTAACAGATAACCAAAACTAGTGAGCCAACATTAGTGCCTTCGACCCATGGTACAATGAGGTGAAACTCACCTGAATCGAAGATCTCTAAACACTATGATACGACCCCTTTTCAGCACTGCTTGCTCCCGCGAATCCACGAACACTAGAACCAGATAGAATCTCAATCAATAGCCCAAAATCCTCAAGTTTGACACAAATTGAAACTTGGTCAAAACGTCAATGGTCAACGAAAGTCAACAGTCAGCAAACCCTCACGATGTAACCATGTATGGCTCATGTCATGAGCCACTACAGGATAAAATAATTGAGTCTCGCCACCCTCACGATGTGACATTCATCTCCTCACGCCGTGAGACCCGTCTGAATGCCATATTGATCCAAAACTTCTTAATCCACTAATCCATCTATTCCAGGAGGTTTCCTAACACTCCAAGGATTATAAAAATCGATACTTTAAGGTCTTGTATGTCCAATACAAGAATTGAGCTCAAGCTATGTCATTTATGAAGAAAAGGAAGTAATTTCTCATGTATGAACTCAAACATTCTCTAACTCTTAAGTTCCATGACATATAAGCATCAAGGGACCCTAAGCACCCATAAATTTCCCAACTTTATGGAGTCCCAACACTCTGACTCTTAAGTTCTTGGATAAATATGCATAAAACTTTAGATCTAGTAGGAAACATAAAGATTGGATCTTGAATACTCACATTGGTCCAGAAGTGTAGCTAAGGGTTGCAAATGAAACTTCCAAGCTGAAACTATGCTTCCATGGTGATCTCTTCCTCTTCAAACCACCAAAACTCCACCAAAAGCTCAATAAACACAAAGAGAGGCTAGGGTTAGGGTTTTACTGAGTTTAGAGACGAAGGAAGCTGGTTTCCCCCTAAAATGAAGTTTATGGGGTTTAAATACGATGGAAACCCTAAAAGATCATGAGTTTGGGCTATAGCGCATCACACGTCGTGAGCTCAGTTAAATCAGAATCTTCATTTAATCCATTCTCACACCGTGGCCCTTCTATGGTAACGTCGTGAGCCTTGGTTTTTCCCAAAAATCATGTCTTTGAGTCCTTGAAGCCCTAAATCGACCCGATCCGGAAAACCGGGTGTTACAGCTTCACCGATCAAAGGATCTTATGGATGGGTTATATGCTTCAGTACTTTATATTCTCGAGTGTGGATCTTGAAAATCTCGATCCATGGAATACATTGTATATTTTGAATTTTAAAGGTAATTTGCATTTTTATATGTTGAAAAATGTAAAAACCATGTGCAATCAGTGTATTTTTAGGTTGGTCAATCTTGGGATTGGAAAATGGGGTGTCTGTGTTACAAGGGACCATAAGAGGTGGAAGAAATCTAGAGTGTTAAAAAAAGGATCTCTAATGTTTTTTAAGGGATATCACATGTTATATATCACATAACTATCATTACTTTAATTCGCATACAGTTACATAGAAATTGTCGATTATAGATGTTCCAAAATAAAACAATTTCTAGAGAGGTTTTTTAAAGATATATTACCCTTTCAACCAAACTTTAACAAACACTTGCATTAACTAAACCAATTTTATTCGGGAATCTAAATTTCATCACCATTTATTAATGTTGATCAATATAAAACTTTTTTTCAATGTATCATCTACATATTTATTTTGTGAGATATACCTTCTCAAGTTGGAGAAATTTCTTGCCCTAAAACATATTTATACCTCTCACAAGTTTGTCATGAAGTATTCTTTTTCATAAAAACTTAAAACTCATGTATAAGATGTAGATCGATTTTTTTTTTTTGACGGTAAATCTAATTTATTCATAATTTCACTTTAAGTTCTAGACGGGACTTTAACTTCAACCTCAAAAAGAAAGGGCAACATCTAATACCGTTAATTTAGAAACCCTTTTGTTATAAGATGTAGTGTTGATTGGCTCCAATATACTTCGTCTTTTTTAGAACTCAATTCAAGAAACAATGATAAATATGCTATATTACTGGAAAAAAAAAATGAGACGTAGTAAATCAAAGAAAATAATCATTTTTACTTGTTACAAAATAAGATGCTAGTTCAAATAGAGACTTGTCAAAGTCCTAAGACAGGATTTTGTCTCTATTTATATGATGGTAACCGGACTTTTGGTTTGATCACGATTTTACTATCATATTCAATTTCTTGCATGGTTATTGAATTTTGGCAGGTCTATTTTAAGATTCTTTAGAAAACCCAAGGGAACATGGAGAGAAAAAGCTATGCATGCAAAAGATTGAAGTTTCACTTGTAACGAGCCCATTGCCAAATTGAAGTTTCACTTAAAATATAATGAGCCCAATGCCCATCTTGTGACCATTAACGTTAACATTAACACTTCTACCTCTATATGACGGCCAATAAGTTAAACCCACTACCATCACCTATCTAACCTTTTGTGATACTCCGATTGATCATTTGATGAGTCATGAAGAACAATATAAAATTATAAACAATTTCTTGTTCCACCTATGTATGAACAAAGTTCCTCAGTAAAACCCGACATTCTTCTAATTCATTCCTTCCGTAGAAATGGAATTTGTGTATTTTCCATATCCTTTTAACTACAACAAGAAGTAGGGGTGTGCAATAAACCGCACAAACCGTATAAACCGTCCGCACCGCACCAAACCGCACCGCATAACGCGGTTTAAAACACTCGCGGTGCGGTTTGTATTTTTGTTAAACCGCATTATGCGGTGCGTTTGCGGTTTACGATTACAAAATTACGGTTTAAACCGCACCGCATTGATAAAATCAATTTATATATATATATATATATATATATATATATATATATATATATATATATATATATATATATATATATATATATATATATATATATATTCGAAAATAATTTGACAGGTCCTAAATTAATGACATTATCTTAAGTTTTTGAAATGTAATATTAATTAATCCAATATTTAATGCAAAATTTAATGGAGTGACCATATTTTTTGTCTCAAATTCATTTTCAACTAACATTCAGTGACCATTATTTTATGGTCACTATCTTTTCCTAACTTATGTATATTCATAAATAGTTAATGTCCACAATTCTATGACCACCAAATTTCTTAATGACCACTTAGTGAGCCGTTAGTGACGACAATGATAGTATTGTCATTAAATTTAAAGTAATAATTACTCAAACCACAAAACCGCATGTAAACCGCATAAACCGCCCGCACCAAACCGCACCGCATAATGTTGTTTTGAACGTTCGCGGTGCGGTTTGCGGTTTCTAAATAACTCAAACCGCATGTGCGGTGCGATTTGCGGTTTTGACTCTAAACCGCACCGCGCACACCCTTAACAAGAAGAATGTTTCCATAGTTTTCAACTTTGTAATTACCAAAAAAAAATCCCTCTCCTAGCTAGTAGTTGAGACATATGCAGAGAAATATGTATACATATATACATATCCGTGTGTATATATATATATATATATATATATATATATATATATATATATATATATATATCGTTTCTTTCTTCTTCATTGTGGGGAATTCCAGTCAAAATGAATAGCAGGCATCGTTTTTCCGATGATTACTCCGACACAACCGACGACTACTCCGGCGATGAAACAGTGGAAGTGGAGTCGACGGAGAGTAAGAGCAGCATTCACGGCGGCGCATTCCGTCGAGGTGTTTTACTGGCGTGGGAACAGGTTTATTTGCTTGCATGCATCAGTGGTATGTTCATCGACCCGCTGTTTTTCTACACACTCTCCATAAGCGACTCCTGGATGTGTGTGTTCATCGACGGGTGGTTTGGTATCACCGCCACGGTGGTCCGGTGCATGACCGACGCCTTGCACGTGGCCAACATGTGGTTACAGTTCAAGTGGAACAGGTGGTCGCGTTACGCCGTCGGATCACGACATGACGACAGGAATTCATGCAACGTGTCCCGGAAGGCGTTCCTGTTCGATCTCTTCGTCATCCTCCCAATCCCTCAGGTTTATCAGACATTTGACAGAAATCATTACACCGATTAAGACAAAATCTAAGGACAAGATAAAGTCACGTCCTAAAAATATTAATTTAATACTAATAGAATATAAACATTAATTAATTGACTTAATGCATATTCTAACATATTTATGTTTTACATTATATTTTTCTTGCACGGTTTGTTCCATATAAATATAGGTTTTGATAAATGTTATTCTAATATGTACATGTTTAGTCTCTTTGATCAATCTAAATAATGGAACCATTTATTGTTTATCTTTGAATCGTTTTTTATACCTTCTTTGAATTAAAACTCTCGAAAGTCTAAACAGTTCAATAACTTTATTTCTGTTAACTAAGTTGAAATCATTCAACTCATTTTTATTATACAAAATTTTAATAATATAGTATTAATTTTTTGGAAATTTTTAATAATATAGTATTAATTTTTTGGACAGGTGGTGTTATGGGTAGTGATTCCTGCATTGTTAAAGAAGGGTTCGACGACAGAAATAATGACAGTTTCTTTAATCATGTTCTTGTTTCAATACTTACCAAAGATTTATCACTCTGTATGCCTTTTGCGACGTATGCAAAATCTCTCAGGCTACATTTTTGGTACTGTTTGGTGGGGGATTGCTCTCAATTTGATCGCTTATTTCGTTGCCTCTCATGTAAGATTGTATTTTTTATCTTAATTTTGTCTTAACACATGTACATTATTTTAAAATTATAATAGACCCCTTCAATATATAATTGAAAATAAATATACTACCAAAAGAAACTGTGACAAAAGTACTCTTTTAAGTTGTGTTTACATATAACTCATTAGAACTTAATATATGTCAGTCATTTTCTCAAATATTTTTTATTGGTTTGCAGGCAGTAGGAGCATGTTGGTACTTGCTTGGTATGCAAAGGGCTGCGAAATGCTTGAAAGAAAAATGCATGGAAGCAAACGGGATTTGTGTGTCAAGATTTTTGACATGTCAAAATCCTGTTTATTATGGCACAGATAAGTTCGTGAAAGATCACACAAGGCTCTTATGGGGATCAAATAAAGAGGCGAGAACAACTTGTCTTGAAAACGAAGACAATTCTAGCTATGGAGCTTATAAATGGACTCTTCAACTCGTTACCAATGATAGCCGTTTGGAAAAGATACTTTTTCCCATTTTTTGGGGACTCATGACTCTTAGGTAACCCGATTTTTCATCAAGAAACGTTTTTATAGTCTTAAATGATTTTATTATATGTATTTGTTATATATACAGTACGTTCGGGAACTTAGAGAGCACAACCGATTGGTTGGAATGTGTTTTCATCATTATCGTTCTCACAACAGGGCTTCTTCTAGTCACCATGTTGATTGGAAATATCAAGGTACATACATACTCATATAAATATCATTACCTTCTCTCAAAAGCATCCTTATTGAACTTATAGTTAGGGATGGCAAAAAAACCCGAACCCGACGGAGAAACCCGAAACCCGATTATTTCGGGTCGGATAACGGATCATTATCGGGTTTTTTATCGGGTTCGGGGCAGGGAGTGGGTTATCCTCGCTCCGACCCGACCCACCCGATTATATATATATATATATATATATATATATATATATATATATATATATATGTTTAAATGCTTTCGATATTAATTACTTACTGTGGACAATATTTTTAGTTATAAACAATTTGGTGTGAATGATCATTTTTTATGTTTTGACGTATTATACTAAAATTAAATCAAATAATTTTTAATATAACGTTGAGTTAATGTTATTAAAGTGATTCATCATATATTTAATTTAAAAGGGAGGCTAAAACACGTATTTTTTATAAGACATCGAGGTACCCTAAAACGGAATAAAGATTTTGTTATGAATTGTTTTAAACCCGATAAGATACCCGAAACCCGACGGGAAAACCCGAACCAACGGGGCGCCCCGATAAGTACCCGAAAGATATTGGGGCGGGTTTGGGAAACCATGCCCCGCCCCGAACCCGCCCCGTTGCCATTCCTACTTATAGTTACTTTTTTAAATATGTAGAGAATACAAAGACTTTTTAGTCATTTTTAAAAAATGATATATTTTTGTGTATATAGGTGTTTTTACATGCAACAACATCAAAGAAACAAGCTATGCAATTGAAAATGAGAAACATAGAGTGGTGGATGAGGAGGAGGCACCTTCCTCAGAGTTTCCGGCAAAGAGTACGTAATTATGAGCGCCAACGATGGGCGGCAATGCGTGGTGTGGATGAATGTGAGATGATACGCAATCTCCCTGAGGGTCTCAGGAGAGACATTAAATATCATCTCTGTTTGGACTTGGTCCGACAGGTATGTATACTGATAATTTAAAATCTATTGTCTATTATTTATAAAAAATCAGATATCTTATTAGTTGTGTCTATTATTTATAGCAAACCGGATATCTTATTTTATTAGTTGAGATACACACAATGAATAAATGGTTTCTTTCTTTTGTAAAAAGTTTTCTATAATGACATATACTAAATAGAACCTTGTAATCATAGTTGATGGGCAAATGTTGAACTGTTTGGATTTAAATGACAATAATCTCGACTGGTGGGTGTAATTGGTAATAAGATAGACCTTCGAGGAGGTGAGATGAAACTTATATGCTCTTACTTCTTATCTTAAAATCTTATTGTTAATTTGTTATGATGAATGTTTAACTCAGGTACCATTATTTCAACATATGGACAATTTGGTCCTTGAGAATATATGCGATCGTGTCAAGTCCCTCATTTTTACCAAGGGAGAAACGGTAAGTCCTTCTGAACTAAAATGTATAGAATTACTACCTTCATTTAATCACAAAAATAACTATCATGTGATATTTTAATATTTAATATTTAATAAAGTAACCATTTTTGCAATCTTTTGTTAATAAAAAATAAAGTTGAGATTTAATTAAAAAAATAAAATATAAAGTTGAGGTTTAATTAAAAAAATACTAAAATATAGAATCTTTTATCTAATTAAACCCAAAAAAATCATATTTGTAGCTTTTTGTTCTTAAATAGTAAATTTTTTAATTTTTCAAAAGAAAAAATCAATTTTGCAATTTATTGAAATTTTGCAACCAATAAAATATGAAATTGATAGTTATTGCATAAATTTCGTATTTTCTTTAAAAATATTTTATTTATTTATTGTTGGAGTAGATTGCAAGAGAAGGAGACCCTGTACAGAGAATGTTATTCATAGTAAGAGGCCATCTTCAAAGCAGCCAAGTACTCCGAGATGGTGTCAACAGTTGTTGCATGTTAGGCCCCGGAAACTTCAGCGGCGATGAGCTCTTATCATGGTGTCTCCGACGGCCCTTCATCGAGAGACTACCACCCTCATCATCAACGCTTGTGACTCTCGAAACAACTGAAGCTTTTGGGCTAGAAGCTGATGATGTCAAATATGTAACGCAACATTTCAGGTATACATTTGTGAATGAAAAGGTGAAGAGGAGTGCTCGATATTATTCTCCAGGGTGGAGGACTTGGGCGGCGGTGGCGATTCAGTTGGCATGGCGGAGGTACCGACATAGACTCACTTTGACGTCGTTGTCTTTCATTAGGCCGAGAAGACCATTGTCGAGGTGTTCTTCACTTGGGGAAGATCGGTTGAGGCTTTACACCGCTTTGTTGACTTCGCCCAAACCAAATCAAGATGATTTTGACTTTTGAGATTGTAGATTTGGGTGTTATAATGTTCGTATAAAGATAATAAAAAGAGAAGTATAAAGTTGTATATGTAATATGTTTATTTATTCGTTTGATTATCAAAAGTTTGAGTATCGTTAAACAATATATGAATATAATATGTAGATTAATGCAACAGATCAACCAGTATGTTTGATCTTGAAGTAGAAAAGTTAATCCATCAAGAATTTGTGACACGGTCCAATTAAAAAATCATGCATTGATGATGGATGGAGACAACTTATGAACACTTATAGGATTAGTGTTATTGTTGTTTATCTTGTGGATTGACATCCATGGAAATAATATAGAGCACGCTTCTAAAATCTAACAGTAATTTGGACCAAAGAAGCTCATATCCATGGCTTTCTTCATTGATTCCTCTTTTCCTCTGTTCGCTCTGAATATACCGGTTGTAACCACCGCCGACGAACAATAAGAAATTTTCATAAGAGGTTTGTTCCACCGTGCAACACCTTGATCTTTCAACACCTCAACCGACCCAGTGGTAGCGGCCACCACCCAAGCTTTCCTTAGTACGTCACCACTCATCCTCCCCCTTGTGTGATTCTGTCGATGGAATCCGATCATGTTAGTGTGACTGTTTAGGTTTGGGAATTGAGTGAATGTGGTATAAATGGAGGGGGAGGGAGATCCACATCATGTGTTCGACGAAATGACAAAATGAAAAACACAGTTTTCATGTCTTGTGGGTTGCTCCCACTTAGCCTTGGAATTAAAGTTGGTTAAGTGATCCATGGATTCTATATTGTGTTGTATATGTTTATATTCTCATTTGAGTTAACTTTCAAATAAGACACTATTGTAGATGTCTATTTTTTATTATATATGTAAAACAAATAGTAACTAATGTCTGTTTGATGATTGGGTTAACTGATAAATTAATTATTGTTCATTGTTTATATAATTTCACTGTCTATACAAGTGATTATACAATATATGGTGTCAGGTAACGAATAGTGAATTGAAATGTGGATGAAAAATAGATGTTGTTTCTATCATGTTGATGAATTCCAAAAATTCGATTTGTACTGAAAACAGTGACAAAATCATCCTATTTTTCAGCCGTCATATGTTAAATATCAAAATATGTTTCTATTTCTAAGGTTGAAAGGTGTGGGTGCGGTTCCAAGTGTGGTTTGCCACATAAGCTGTGGAAAACGCCGTGTCGGTTATGTGGTTTCGAGTGCAATTTCTCTCTCCTTAGCTAGAAAGAGTAGAGTCTTTCTCCACTATCTCTCTTTTCTTCCTTTCTTCCCCACCAATGTTTGTCCATGGTTTCAAAATGGATGTCACACCACAATCTTATGTGGAGTTGAGACGAAGAGTTTTGTCATGGTAGAACCATGGCACGGAACCCTCTCGCCTAACATCTAGTCCAAACTTAAACACTTGAAATAAGACTCAAATGTAAAAGGCAAGGTTAAGAGTAAACAATTAAAAGTTAGAGTCAAACTCACACAAAAAAAACCTTTACAATGAGAAATAAGAAACGTAAAACCAACCAAATATACAAAGTATGAAATTATGTACCATCAAATTAATTAACTCAAAATCTGACAGAATGGAAACAAATTTCAATGGATTGGCGAATCGAGACGACCCTTATAACATTATTTTCTTTGTAGAATGCAACTTACTTTCATGATGGTGTGTACATATGAATTTTCCGAATAATTATAGCATTGTAATAATACTAACCAAATCATGTATACATGTTAATTAGCCAAATGGTTTTAAAAAATGTCATCGTTTAACCATCATATTTTCATGATGATTATTAAGATTTTAATTTCATTCTTTAGCATTATTTTAGAATTCTAATTTTATATTGGTTTTATAGCATCTTACTTTCATGATGGTGTGTAATAGTGTATATTCTTGAAAAGTTTTAGCATTGTACTTGCATTATCCAAATCATGTGTACATACACTTTTTTTTTTAAATTAGGTTCATTATAGAATTCTGATTTCATATATATATATATATATATATATATATATATATATATATATATATATATATATATATATTAATAAAAAAAACTTTAAGGAACACTAGCTTTTTTGTTCTTCAAACTTTTTTCACACTTCTTTGTCCACTTTGACACTTTTAGTCCTTAAACCCAATATTTTTGCCCCAATATGATATATAATATTAAGCTGATCAAGAATGGCTTTCAACGTGTGTGACCCATGTTCTCACTGCCTCTTTAAGCCAATAACCCACTTCCACTACCCATGGGACTTATCCTATGACCATTCATTGGTTTGAGTTTACTTTGCTTACTCATCGCCCCTTTCTTTAATTTTTCGCCCCCATCTTCTTCGTCAAATATTCTTGTCGTTTCCTCTTGATACGTCCCACAAATTCAGAGTAAAATTTTTATCTCAAAAATACTTAATCCATACAAATGAGTTTTTCGAAAAACTAGTTACAGTGATTAAATTATTTAAACATCAGAGTAAAAATATAATTAGCTAATGCGTAAAACTTTGAGGAATGCAGTGCAGTCACGTCGGACCCTATCCTTTCGTACCTGAGGTACCTAAAACCATAAACATGAAACTGTAAGCACAAAGATTAGTGAGTTCCGCAAAATAGTATATACCATACGCACATCGGGCCCCGCCCGACATCTGGCCCTGCCCAGTACAGATCTGTCAGTAACATGCGATGGGCCCCGCCCAACACATTCATCAGTCCCCGCCTGGCATCGGGCCACTCCCGATACACATACAAACACCTACAATATATGTGAGATTCACACACACAACTAGCATCCTATAACCGTAATTCAATGGGTCGACATTGGTTCCTTCGACCCGCAAATATTGTGAGAAGACTCACCTCAATCTGAGGATAGCCAAAACTCACAGACACACCTCTGCTACAAAACCTCCTCACACTGAACATATCAAAACCAATCCTAATCAACAATTAGGGTAATAACCCATCATCAAAGTCCATTTCATATTCTCTTTCACTAAGGGTAAAATACCATTTTACCCTTCAAAGGCTAAACTGTAACATCCCGAGAATTCAGGTATTTCTAAATTCATCCCTTGGTTTTTAATGTACATTATTTTGGCCCTTGGATTGGATGGAAGTAGTCATGGGAAGCCCTAGTGGCAAATTAGTAATTTTGGGGCCAAGAGGAGTACGCTAAGCGTACATGTGGGTACGCTGAGCGTACTAGGGCGCGCCCTAGTACGCTGGGCGTACTCGTGTCTGAAGGAAACCCTAAGTTTTAGGGTTTATAGGGTATTTAAGCATCCTTATGGCTCATCTATCCCCACTTTTTCAGCCTCCAAAGTCTTAGAGTTGTTCTTGCAAAACCCTAGCCTCCTAGAGTGAGATTGAGAGCCCTAAAGTGTGTTCTTGGCGTTTTAGAGGAAGGAGAAGTGCATCAAGAAGCTTGAGAGATTGAAGCAAGGATTGGATCTGGAATTTTGGCTCTCTTCTCCACCATCTAAATGTATAAAGTTCATACCTTTATGGTTTATTTGATGGATCTCATGTTTGGGTCTTTTTATGTTTCTTTTTGGTCCCAAATGCTCCATCTCGAGCATGACATGTCCTGGATGCTTTAAGTCGTCCTTCCAGACCCTTGGAGGGGTCCTTAGTCATAAAAATGAGGTCCCAACGGCTAGAAGTGTTCCATGCATTTGGAAAAAGGGTCTGAATGGATTAAGACCTTTTATTAAGAACTTTTAGACGTGTCATAAAGTTGGAGACTTTATGACTTTAGGGTGCATTAGGACCACAGATCTGTAGTTTGGGTTTAAGTGCTTAAGCCATTAAGCACATAATGAGACTTTTGGATCTGCGAGGGTACGCCCCGCATACTCGGTCAGCCACCCCGATGTGGGTCAATGCGAGGCTCGGTATACGCCCTGCGTACGCCGTCTATTGGATTTTGGAATTTGGGCTTCACGTTTTGGGCCACCTTTTGGGTTTGAATACTTGGGCCCTTATTGGAGTATAAGCGCCAGTGAATGGTGACTTGGTCATCTTTCCAAGTAAATAAGATTTGCACACGTCATCGTCCCTAAGGTCGAATGACTCCAACACTCCATCTTTTTGGAGTTGGGCTATGCGCTTCTTGTTGACATGTCCAAGACGACAATGCCACAAGCATGCTTTATCCAAATCATTGGAAGAATCAATACACAACACATCATTTCTTAAATTGTCTACAACCATCACAGTTTCATATATTCCATTACAAGGCAATGCATCAAAATAGAAAACACCATTAAGATAAGCATTAATAGAACCCTTTTCATTATCAAATGAATATCTAAATCCTTGTCTATATAAACCATGAAATGAAATGATGTTTCTTGCCATATCTGGCGAATAGCAACAATTATTTAAATCTAATCCTAATCCACTACTAAGCATTAAAGAGTAAACTCTGATCTTGGTGACAGGCGATGATCTTATGTTCCCCATGATCAATTTTATCTTCCCATGCTCCACATTTAGTCCCTGCAAATCAGAACAAATGTGAAAACCACATCCTGTATCAAGAACCCAAGAAATAGCATGTGATAAATCATTAGATTTAATAGTGTAAATACCTGCGTAGGATGGCTTGATCTTTCCATCCTTGATGCTTTGCAGATATTTCGGGTAGCTTCGTTTCCAATGCCCTATTTTGTGGCAGTGGTGGCACTCTGCCTCCTTGGGGTTGGAGTTGGGTTTAGTAGGACCAACCTTGTTTCCACTAGAATAAGAGCCATTTTGGGACTTTCCCTTATGGTGGCTCTTTGAGGGAGCCTTCCTCTTCTTTCCCTTTCCTTGCCCAATTGCCAAGACTGGGGCAGCAGTAGGATTTAGAGTTGATGCAACAGATTTGTATTTGAGGTTGCTCTCAACAGTCCTCAACAAGCCCTGAAGCTTGCTCAAAGAGACTTCCTCCTTGTTCATGTGGTAGGTCACGCGGAACTGGCTATAGCAGGGAGGCAAGGAATGAAGGATGATATCAATTGCCAGCTCTTCATCAAAGTTCACATTCAACTTTAGCAGGCGATAGACATATCTCTGCATCTTTTGCAAATGAGCGGTAAGGGACTCTCCATTACCCATTTTGGTAGTGATCATCGAAGTGATGATCTCGTACCTTTCTTGCCTAGCGCTCTGGTGGTACCGGTCCAGCATATCTTGATGCATCTCATACGGGTACATGTCCTCATAGGACTTCTGGAGTTCTGCAGTCATGGTTGCCAGCATGATGCAATGGACTTTCGTGGCATCACGCTCGTGGGCCTCAAAGGCCGCGATCTCTTCAGCAGAGGCAGTGTTGATGTCAATCTCCTTTAGCTTCTCATCGAGGACATACTCTTTGTCCTCGTAACGAGTGACCATTCGAATGTTGCAGATCCAATCATTGAAATTGGACCCGTCAAAGATCACTCTCCCACACAAGTTCATGAGTGAGAACGAGCCAGAGGAAGTTGAACCAGAAGCGTTGTTGTTGATGTTCGACATCTGAAAAAGGAAAAAGAACAAATTTTGATTAGAAATGAATCCCCAATTAAACACCCAAATGAAAAATTAGGGCT